TATTTCAAATATATGAATTATGTTTTGCTTATGGAATTATATCCATAATATTTTTAATAAGTTTTATGAATGATTTTGGGTATGAACTGCCCATGTCACATTTTATGAAGGTAAATTAAATATATTTATGGTTCTGATATGATTTTATCAAATGATTACAAGATGAACTAAAAAGCCCACTGTATGTTATATGGAGAGTCATAGGTACAATTGGCATGCCATGAGGTGGAGTGATTATCTGTTCTGATTCCGATATACTGTGGTGTACCAGAGTGTACACTAGTATATATATTCTGATCTGAATGCACTTGGTGTGTATATTGTTATTTCCGATGTGATAGCACTGTGCGCTTATCTGTTCCGACTTTGATGATTTGAGATCTGTATTGCGCACACTCGTCTGACTCACGTATCTTATATTCTCTTAAAATATACTTTGGGCTATAAAAATGAAATAAGAAAGTTATGAAAAGTGTCTGACTACAAAGGATTATGAAATGATTATTCTGTCTAATCTGATTTATTATGATCTTGTGAAAATTATCATATGATTCTTTTCAGGTTTATGATAAAGTTCAACATGAGATAGCTGGTTTGAACATTCTGAAAAATTTAGTCTGTTTTATTTTAATGATTTTATATATTTCGATAATTTATTTATTTGTTCTCACCTTAACTATTATTGCCTCACTAAGTTATACTTAGCGCGTGATAATTTTCATGCGTAGGTTTTAGAAAGGATAATCACGATCAGTAAGGAGCTATCGGAGCATCTTTTGGAAAGACAAAAATATCATCAGTATCAGTAAGACATCTATGATGTTTCCTTTGACTTATAGTGGCATGTATAATTATGTCAGTGATTTCTATTTATCGTATTTATTTCTAATATTCTGTAATAGTAAACTAAAACTATTTTAGTTTATTTTTACTTAGTTTAGTTTTAGCAGTATATGCATTAAAAGAATATATTATGTTATTATGCTTTTAAAAGTTATCACGAAAAGAAATGGTTTAGCAAAATTACTGATTAACAAATGAATTTATTTTTATGTGACAAAGAAACAAATTATAGTTGAGATATATTTTAAAATAGATTTTAAAAGTTAGAATAAAAGTGTTTTCAAATGAATTTTTTTAGTAATTTCAGTTAAGTAAATATTTTTAAGTTGATGTGATATCTTTGACTCGTATAACCAGATGTATACGGGTTAGGGTGTTACATTAATGGTCATTGAACTTTTATAATTTATATTATAAATAATATATTTTAAATGATATTAAAAATATACTTTATAATTTATATTATAATTAATATATATTTATAAAATAAATTTACATATCACATTCAAGCTAAATAATGTTTTTTTAATCAAAATATAATAAATTTTTCATGTGACATGGGTGATTAGACATTACACTTTTTTTTTCCTCAAAGGACTCAAGTTCAAGATAGTAACTCCAAGTGAGATGAGTGTAGTTTACCCAAAAGTTTAAAATAGTGGGAGATTTGTAGGTAGGGATTTGAGAATTTCAACTTCCTCCATCTCACTCATCAATGCAATGATGCTAAACATCAACTTAAGACATCCAATTAATAACTTATAATTGATTTGTAACTCAAAAGTAAATGAATGATTGATATTATTTATTAAAGTCTCGAGTTTAAACACTATAAATGTAAGGGGTCTGAGCATTTAATGTTAAATGGTTGAGAGTTATTTTTGAACATATATTATTTTGTACTTACCCCAGATTGATCACACACAAAAAATATAATTCCAAATATTGAATATGGATCTTATTGGATACAAATATCAGAATTAGAGAATTCCAATCAAAATGTGATAGAAAGATGTGAAAATGAGGATTGAAGTCTACTTCGATGGGAAGGTAAGCAACAAGGCATTGTTGATGCAGTTCAGCGGTCTCTTGTAAATTGCTTGTGACTAAATTAATTAATAATAAAGCATTGAAAATATTTGTGTTACAGATAGAGCTATCACCGCCAAACAAACAAAGGGTGAAGCTTGAGAAAGAATATGCTGCTCAGTGATGTCGGAATCCATGTTGAATAAGGCCTCATCAGCCTGTAAAACAAGATACGCATAGGCACACAAACTTATCAATGGGGCTGTAATTCTCTTGGTTAAGTTTTGGTTCCATTAGGGGATGGGAATAAATTTTTTCATTAAATACGTTGGATATTTTAAAGTTCTAGTTTCATTCGATTGATTTATATTTTAAATTTAAATTTTAATCTTTTATATATAAAAAATCATATGCTAAAATCCAAACATAATTATATGTGTCAAATTTCAATATTTACAACCTAATAACTTATTTATAAAAGTAAAAAAAAAAAAAATTAATTCTTGTATACCGGTTCCTGGGCAGAGACCTCTCCTGTCCATGCTCAATAACTATCATGATAATAATTTAAATTTTCTATCACTGACAATGATTATAATTCTTAATGATATGCCTATGTAAATATAAAAAAAGGCAAATTAATTAATATGACATGTAAATAAACACATTATCACATAAACAATAAATTTTGGTAACATAATTATTATTTTTTATAAATGAAAAAACGGGAAAGAATGATAATATTTAACTTCAATTATAAGTAATTTTTCAATTATATAATATGATATTAAATTAAAAAATTATATAACATTTTTCATCTTGAACGCTTTTTCAAAACAATAACATAAGATCATCCTGAATCTTTATAACCCAATATTTAAATAATTTACTCATCATTAATCAACAAGAGATATGTGTCACAAATTAAACTTCTCCCTCTATATTTTTCTTGTTTAGTATTTCCAGGATTATTCTAGATATAAAATGTAGATTTTAGGATTAAATTAATCTCCACCGTTCATCGAAATGGTGGAAGATTATACAAAGAATACTTGGTCATTTGCCACAGCATCCATCTATTCAAACATTCAAAAGTCTAAGTGCACTTCGTAAAGCATTCTCCAAAATCAATAATTTTTTTGAAGTGTCCAGTATCAAAGTTTTCTTCTTTCTTATATAGAGTATGGTTGCTTTATTTTTTTAGGTAGTTTTGCTTACGCCAGATACATCTAAAGAGTTTAAACTCATTTAATCACACAAAAAAGTAAATGTACAAGTGCTGCACAAACAAGAAAAGAATAAGCCCTAAAAACTATAGGCGAAGACGAACGCATAAAAAATTATAAAATAATTTGCAATAACGTTATGTCTACTTTTTCTATTCCACATATACCCTGGCTGTCTCCCCCCAAGAGTTTAATACATATAAAAAATCATTTTGTCGTGTGTCATCTTTTTTAAATCACTAATCTGGATAGCATGCACTCATCTAATTTCAATCGGAAACTCTATCTAATCTGAATATATTTCCATGATCAAAAATAATAATTAAGTTAAAGTAATTAAATATATAATAATAATAATAATAATACACTAAATATATATGTTTTCTACCATGATAGAAACTTAGGCAAGAGTTTAATATATATGTTTTCCGGTCAACCATATGGGGCCTATGGAAAGGAAGAAACGAGGCAATGTTCAACAACAATGATAGAAACTTAAGACAATTTTCCCAATATAGCCATAACCTCGCCAGAGATACTAAGAAAACAATGGAAGCTTTCAGTAGTAAAATTATCAGACGATGCAAACAACTTAGGCAGTCGTGGGTGCTGAAAACGGCGATGGATCGTGCCTTACCAAGGTTGTGTGGCGATGAAGAAACTACAAACAACAAAGACCACAGTCGAACGACAACATCGACGACCTTGGTTTAACATGAATGGCGGCGAGACGAGGGAGGATGAAACGACGGTGCGAAATGGAGAGAGGAGTGAATCAACATATCACAATCTGGTTGGAAGAAAAAAATAATTGAATAAAATATATTAAATTATAAAAAATAATATTTAATCAAACAGTGACACATGTCAATATCTGATTAGGAGGATTAAATTTATTGAATTAAATTAAAATCATTATTAAATTGATAGAATATATAAGTATTAAAGATCAAATGACCAAGTTTCAACTGATTTGGTCTAATGGTGACAAATGAATAAAAAAAACAGGTATGCTGATAAAGATGAAAAGAAAGAAAAGAGAAAAATATAATTGAAAAATTCAGATTTAGTCCCTAGATTATTTAAAATTTTAGATTTATCTTAACTGAAATTTTAGATTTTTAAAATATTTATTATAAAATAACAAAAAATAAAGTTTGACCTTTGTTAAGATTTGTTAGCTACTTGAGTTTAAACCCCAACAAAATTTGTAATATTTTTTTCTTAAATAAAATGATATCATTTTAGGTCTTTTGAGAATTAAAATAGTTGTATTAAAATGTTGTCATTTTAGTAATTGTCATATCATCATCTCGTTAAGTCATTAATGATTGAGTGACATAATTAAATGTAAAAGTATATGTTAGTGCTAAAATTAAAAATTTGATCATATAAACGAGTCAACACTTAAAATTTGATAGTATTTAAAGTAGTTGTCTTTTTTTTTATTTCTTCATCATTGTTCACGGCTCTCTATCTGAATCATCAAAGGTTAGAATCCATTTATTCCCATCAACTTTGCTCAAACAGTCTCCATGACCGATTTCCCGCCGTTTTCAGTCCACTTCAAGCTCATCGCTACAACGGCGAAGGTCCCTCGTTGTCCCGATTGACAATAGATTGCGTCACCACAATGGACGGTCTTTTTTTCTTCTTTCCTTTGTGTGTATTTTTTTTAGAAAAATATATATTCAAATCTTAAAGACTAGAGAATTATTTGATTTTTACAGCTCAAAATTTAGTAAACGAGTACTATTTTCCGTTTTTGATTTTAATGGATTGAACCTAAAGGTTGAGTTCAGTAAAACAATAAGAATTATACAAGCATTAGAGAATTTATTCATTCTTTTAATTCAAAAGTTTGAAATAACAAAATAGTGTCCAAAACAGGACATTGGTGGAATATTTCACTATGAAGCACATTTCTAATTTTTTTCAAGCAAAGGCCCTCCTCGGTTTACGGCCTTTCTCTGGTTCCATCTATATCTTACATCATTTTGATCCGTTTACAGCTTGAGGACGAATTCCTAATCCCCCTACCTGTAACAGAATATGCTGCTGATGCTGATCGAAGAGAAGGTGACTTGTCGATATACGCAAACCTTTCATTCCCATTCCAATATAGAACGATCCGATTCGTGCAAGAATGGGACCAGCTATCACCTACTCAGCATGATTACACTACTTCAGTTGAGCATGTAACTACGGCAATTGTCAACCATACCACAAATACTTGTGTGACCATGTATCTATAACAGCAAAGAAACTACAAAAGTTTATGCGAGAGAAAATAGATGATTCGGCTTTATATTACCTAGTGCAAGAGCTAATTGAAAGGAGCCTTCTGTATGCTTAGTAGTCACCTGATTCAATAAAACAACCTGGAAAAAGTAGGAAAGTTTAAAAATAATAATAAGCATACAACCTATGGTGAAACGTCATGCACCGTCTAGTAAGCTTCAAAAACTGAAACAGTATGAATGATAAAATTTGCATCATGATTAGATATCTCAAACAACAATTCAAAGAAAATTAATAATTTGAAAATGAAAGAAAAACTATTCTCACCGCCAAGCTGAACTTCTTGGCCAGATTCATCAACTTCAAAGCCAGTCCACTAAGAACTCGAGTCCTAAGAGCCATGTCATCAAAATCTTGGCGGAAATGGAAGGTAACACTATCCACAACCACCACCTTCACCTGTGACAATATTGATATATCTATTTACAGATCTGAGCAGTTAATTAGCAGCAGTGTTTACCCAACAACTCATAGAAATGGCCTCAACAAAAAGGGAAACGACCCCGCATGATACTATTATACCTACATCTTTATGTTCATAAATGAACTTGTCTAAGTAATTGATCAGGGCAATTTGCTCCGTATAACTGCAAATCCGGAAATAAAATATGTTTTCCAGGATATCCTTCGGTTGCAATTTGTTTTTGCACTCTTGGAAATCCTTCCTTAAGAATCGGTTATATTCTGACATATCTTCTACGCAAGCCTCAGCAATTTGAAAAGCACGCTCCACCATAAAACTACCTTCCGTGTCTATGTATCATATAATCACATTGTCAGAATCAGCAACAAAAATCCAATGGCAAACAGTACAAAAAAAACTTGCAGTAGTTTTATGAAAGTTACCAATATATATTGCCTTCCCACCCAGGCCACCAAAATCATGCGGAATTTGAACATTAACAGCTATTTGAATCCTGTCAATATAGACGGAAATTACAGAAAAAATAAATCCGATGTAACATGCTAGCAAAACCTTGTTAACAAGCAACAACCCTTACCCCAGCTGTGTTTTACCGATGCCTGGGACTCCACCTATAAGAATCAAGATAAAGATAATATTTTCACTACCAAAGAATTTGTCAATTTATACTTGGAAACAGAATTAACAATTATCAACAGTGAAGATTATAGAATGAACAAACTAGCCTGCATAAGAAGAAAGAGTGAGACTAACCGATTTCAGTGACTTCTTTGCAATGTATTCCACCACCCAAGATGTTATCGAGATCTGCAGAGGATGTAGTAATATGCACTAGTGATTCCTCATCGTGGAGCATATCCCAGGCACTCTGTGCACCTGCAAACCACAGGAATGTGTCTGAAACCATAAGAACTTGAACTGGCAATATGGGCACAAACTAATGATATTTTCTCCTTTCCAACAATGGGGATTGTAGAAATGAAGAAATACTAATAAAGAAGTTTCGACGAACCCTCAACAACTGAAGAACTTGCATTAGAGGTTTCCGCTCCCCTACTTTGTGATGCAACCTTCAGAATCTCCATAGCTTCGGTTTCGGAAACTTTTAAATCTGTATAAAAAGAAAAACAGAGATAGAAACATGAAAATCTGCAGCAGCGGAAGACCGTAATTCACACAGAAAACAGCCTTTTGCCAGGTTCAAGTGTTGAAATGGAAGATAAATCGGGAAGTGGGTGAAATGTAAGAGCCCTTGGTGTTCTGGAAGTAATTCAAGTTCGTTGGGTATTAAAAACAAACAGTTGGTAGGTTTGCATAGCGAAGTAGGAGAAAGAAAGAGCTGCATAACCTCGAGCGAGGTCAGATGAAGAGATGGAAGAGATGGAAGAGAGGGAAGTATAGCCAGCTGAGATTAGCTTCCCTCTTTGCGATGCTGAGATTGGTAGCCTCAATACTTCCATCCCTAACTTTACTTGGGCGTAGCTTTCTTCTCTAAACTATTCATCCTGATCTATGTGGATTTATATAGGATTCGTTCCCGCAAAATTACTTCAACAATGTGTTGATTTTCTTTTTAATTTTATAGGGTGTAAGAAAAATTATTTCAATTAAAATATTTGGGAAAACGTTCAAATTTTTATTTATTTTCAAGAAGGCATTTGAGTCGTTCGATAATTTTGTTAATTCAGACGTCTTCTCAAGGTTTCATGGATGCATAATAACAGAAATGACTTCCGAAATTGTTATGTGGTACGAACAACTTCCATTGAGTACTATAATAGATAAAATTTCAACATATTATTCAAATTTTACCGATTCATTCCCATCAAAATATATAAAAAAAAAGTAAATCAAACTCAAAAATCCAACCTAATCTTATCGTAAGAAGTCACTAATCATTTACCAAAAACCAAGGCGAACAGACCGTTATATAATCCAAACTCAACCCAAAATTTATTTACTTTGACATTTCACATGTTTAAGCTCGACACAAGAAATATATCAAATTTCTTCGAACTCGGATAACTACAACAATTCACAAGAAAAAAACTTTTTAATAGAGATTTTAGTGAAGATTTTAATACATCTTCGATCGGATTAATTTTGGATTGGCTACTTGGTTTTTGTTTAGACCCTTGAAAAGAGCAATGTTTCTTCACTAACGAAAAGAAAATATAAATTTACCTTTTCCATCTCGTCTGTATACTACATCTTAATTGACGAAAGTAAAGGTTTTATAGAGACTATTGATGAATATGTTTGATGCCCATCTTCGTATTCAGACTTGATGCCACTGCAACAAGTAATCTCAATTACCCATCTCATAGTTATGCGAAGGATCATTGCGACGCTGAATTTAGAACCCTCCAAGAGCTCTGTATATGCATACTCTTTCATCGTTGTTGTTGATGTGAAGCGCGCACAAGAGATGTAAGTGACGGATGAACCCGAGCCCTTCTCAAATAGGGAGACTCACTCCTGCCTTCAGCATATTCCTCCCCTAATGGCCACCTTGGCCGCAAATCATACTGGTGCAACACAAACATGTCAAAATTCATGCTATTTCGACTTATTTCTGCCCATAACAACACAACTTATAGAGCAAATACAGTCATACAATTAATAATATATTTCCTGCATACCATGAAATCTTCTGGATCATTGGCAGGTGGAGGAGGATCGTATCTTCCAACACGGAAGTTCTCGATGCCAGTCCAAGCAACCATCACGCCTATTGTTTATGAAAATTATAGCATTAGTTGCCTACTTTTATTTAGAACATCCAGTTAATATCCCAAGGTTTAAATATTAGGTTTAGGCGTTTACTTAATACTCTAGAGCATTTGAACATTCTATATGTTTATCTTTCTATACATAAATTGAACAATACAGACAGAAACATAAACTATTGCCTGGTTTTTAAAAGTACTTGTATAGGGTTGAAAAAAACTTGTGACAAATGTAACTTACCATTGTCAGTGCAAAGGTTGGGAGGGGGGCATACAAGCTGCAGACTGTACTTGTTAACAACCTTATCCAATTGAGCCCTTATGTATAGATTTGATGCTACACCTCCGGATACTACCTGCAAGAAGAAAAATAGGAACAAGATCAGCATAAACCGTTACGCAGCAGATTAACTATAAAAGCATCCGGTACTAACAGGAGTAAATATGATTAACACACACAGAGATGATATAATTTACACCACCAGATGCTTTATGGAAGGTTCAATCTTCAATGCCCATTCAACTGCTCGTTCACACCGTTCTTCTAGATGCAACACTGCAACCCGCTGGAGTATAGATTTTAAGGGCTCGCTTATCAATAAATATGTTCTAAAATTATCGAATTAATGAAAAAATCTAGAATTAAGACTGATACAAAGACAAAAGGAAAAGGATGTAACCTGAAAAGAGGCAGCAATATCAGCTCGGGAGCATCTATCTTGGCTACTTGCACATGAAAGGGGAACCTTGGCATCACTACAACAAATGGGGTCAAGCAGAATTAACATGATAGATAAAAAGGGAAAGTGTCAATCATCAAGTATGATAAATATCAGTGTGGTCTACAAACATATTTCTGGATGCAATTGCTAGTTTCACTTGGGTCTTTAGACCAGCATAAGAGAAATTACAATCTTTATGCTGTTTCATTGGAATCTGAAAAGGGAAGAAATGCATTAGTGAAATTCAGAACAACTGCTCAACGAACAGGTCAACACCATACATGAAAAACAACCAAATCATCAAATATACACTCTAAAAGAAAAGACCTACAGAAAATCTAACTGATTCTGCGTCACCCTCCTGAGCAAGTTGCTCAACAGCTGGCCCACCACTCTTCCTCATATCAAGGCCCAGCCATTTTGCAGTCTTGTCAAAAGCCTCACCAATTGCATCGTCTATTGTGGTCCCAAGTTGAGTGTAATGACCAAGATCATGAGCAAGAACTAACAGATTGTGTCCACCTACAGGAAGCAAGTGAGCAATGACTGTAACCCACAAACAAGACTAGTTGGTGGCAAAACTAAAAATTTATGATTTTGCAATGTCATGGTATAATCATCAAATTTCTTAATCAGATAAAAACAGCAATTACAGAATTCCCTAATGTATGTGAATTGGAAAATTGTAGACGATAACTTTAATAACCCCGAATGACAAAGGATTTCAGAATAATATTTTGTAGTCCATGATGGTGTTAAAGTCATAAATGTGTATCCTATCATGTAAAGACAAGGGCACAAACATATCCCTGGCTCACTAACTAGCTTGCTAACAAGCAAAAATGTGTATGCAATGAGTGTAAGCAACATAAAACCAAAAAGTCAGAAACCCAAACCTGATATAAGTAGTGTAAGGAATGGAAACTGCAACTCCTTTTCTACCAGCCTAGATCAAGAATTAACAATGTCAGGTACTGATAAACAAATGGTACTTAAAAAGCACACCATTTTCTTGAAGAGCAACAACATATGGCTTATCTTCTCATGTCTATATATGGTCATTGTTTCAATACCTGGCTACTAGAGCATGAGCCTCCATGTGATGCACACTGATGATCGGTAGATTGAAGCTGCCAGCAACTCTCCTAGCTTTCTGCACACCAACTGTGCAGAAATTACATAAAAAATGTCAAAAAGGGAAAGGCAACTCAAGCCACAATTCGAAGCAATGATGAACAATAGAATTCAATTAAAAGAGTAATTACCACGAAGGCATAGACTTAAACCAGGTCCAATAGTGACAGCAACTGCAGATAATTCCTTTTCAGTCAAACCAGCTTTATCAAGTGTATCTTGCACAACCTGCATATGATAATCAATTTGTGATTTATTTTTGCATTTACATTTACACATTACATAAAAAACAAAAAAACAGATTAATATGATTTGTTAATAAATAGAACAAGGGTATATAATACCTGGTCAATGACCTGTGAATGTGCTTCTTCAGCCATTTTAGGAGCAACGCCTCCATATCGAGCTAGCAAATCTGCCTTCATGGGATCAATAGTTAAAGTGAAAAGAAAAAAAGACATTCACTTCACTGTCAGGAGAAAATAAAAAGTACTGAAAATGGAAAAAAAAATACATACCTGAGAAGACACAACTTGGCTGAGAATTTCGCCATTTCCTCTCACCTAACATTCACATTTTTTTTCAAAAGAACATAAATTCCCATTAAAAATGAAGAATACCCATAAAGGAAAACGAGACAGGAAAGCGGAAAAGTGAAGGGTACTTACGATAGCGGCTGCTGTGTCATCGCAACTGGTTTCGATGCCAAGAACAACCAAATCATCATCAAATGATTTGGACGAAACAGAAATTGTTGAAGTAGAGAAATGAGTTGCTGAAGAACTGAATGAATGAGGAAAATAAAGGAGAGGATAATTGAGGGGTCTTAAACGCTGTTGCTTGTGGAATTTTAGTAAATTAAGGGCTTTGAAAGTGAAGGAGGATAATATTGAGGATTTTGGGAATAAATTTAGGCGGGAAAATGTTGAAGGAAGCGTTAGCAGTGAAGACGAAGACACCATTTCAGAGCGGAAGAGGCCAAGAGGTATGAAGATTTGAAGAGGGAAAACAGAAAGACTAGTGTTTAGTCAGTAGAGAAGAGATTATGAATGAGTGATGCAACGAGCAAGTCGTCGTCTTTGTGCACATAAAACGACACCGTTCCTTATACATGTTGACCCAGATCTTTACTGAAAATAAAGCCCATTGGGCCTCAACTCCGTTTTCCATAAGACAAAACTCTTCGCACAAATTAATTAGATATTAACTCAATTAAAATAAATTTAATTTTTTTTAAAATTTAATAAATATTATAATGATGTTTTGTTTGTGTTATTATTTTATATAAATTTTCAATAAAATAATTATAATTTATAATTTAAATTAAATTAAATGTTTAAAATCGAACACAAAATTGATGAAGATTCGAATATATATGTTATATTTTCTCTTTAATGGGTGCTATTTATCCGATTGCCTTCGGCAGTGTGCCCCTGCGCCTGCACTTGCTGCATTCGGAGCCGACCAACTTGATGAGGAGGAGGATTGTAACATCTTCGATTATTTGAACTGATTTTTTTTTTGAGCTCGATAATGGAAATTTGCTTTGTCTAATAGAGGTTTGTGCTTATGAATTGGATTTAACTGATGAATGAGGGAACTATATTTGCTGCAAGATGATTTAAACTATTTTTTTTATAATCATCGGTATATATATTAAATACAACAACAACAAAACACAATTCCATATGCAATAGGATAAGGGGGAGGTAGGGTAGTAGGCTGCCCCCAACGCCAGGTTGAAAGTAGCTTCCGTGGAAGACCTCCGGCAGTCAGAAAATTAAAAATATAGATAACATGCAATGCATGTATAAATAAATACATAAATACATAGTTGAACAGTATTCATATGCAATCATTAATATCATATGCTTGTCTGTAATGGGAAGTAATCTCTGTAAATAAATCCCTGCGAAAAAATCTCTGCATATAGACAGAGATGATACACCCTATAGATGTGACCCACACTACTCGACTACCTTAGTCTTAAGTCTCCATATTTTCCTATCAGAGGTCATGTCCTCGGTAAGGGCTAAATCCATCAAATAAGATCTCAAGCAGTCTTCCCACTTCGGCCTTGATCGTCTTTTCCTTCTAGCACCGTCTACTGTAATCGACTCTACCCTCCTGACCGCATCCAACGATAGTCGCCTAAGGACATGCCCAAACCACCGTAGTATTCATTCCCTCAATTTTTCGGAAACAGTCACCACCCCCAAGGACATCCTAATAGCAGAGTTTGTTGTCATATCCCTCATAGTCCTACCACATGTCCATCGAAGCATTCTCATTTCTGCGGCCTCTATCCTCCTTACGTGATCCTTCTTGATTGCCCAACATTCTGATCCATACAACAGCGATGGTCTTATTGTCATTCTATAAAATTTTCCCTTAAGTTTTAGAGGCACCTTGTCACACAAAACTCCAGTAGCAACCCTCCACTTTAGCCATCCCGCCTTTATACGGTGTGTAACGTCATCATCTACACCCTCATATTTATGTATCACAAACCCTAGGTACTTGAAACAATCCTTTGAGGGGAGAACGTGTCCTTCTATGCATACTTCTACATCTTCATCGTTTTGGTCCCCATTGAAGTTTGAACATAAATACTTTGTTTTTTCAATATTGATCCTTAGACCTTTTTTCTTTCAAAACAGTCTTCCAGGTAGCCAGTCTATTATTCAACTCAGAAGTGATATATTAAATATCTCAACCCAATTTACTCTATTCACAAGTGTAAAAATTCAAATATCTGATTTTACTTAACGATCTAGTATTTTCTCCAACTAGACCAATAATTTTAACTGATTGCAACTATCGTTATCTTACCATCTTTCCGAAAACAATTTAATATATTTATTGCTATTTCTTTCCGATTTTAAATGTTGTTATAGTAATTAGTAAGGATAGATTAAAGAAGACTGACATGATGTTTTTTTTATTTCAAATTTTTATAATTTATTTTTTATTTTTAATAAATAATATATTTTCATCCCTAAATTCCATAAGTTTGCGTTGTTGGATATGTCTTGAAGATGGCTCCCCATCTTTTCAAGTATGCTCGGGAACTATCTTTCAATATTCATGATATAACATAATGTGTTTCCGTACCGTAGGATGTTTGATAACTAAAACCCGTGCCTGTTGGTCCAAGGCACCGTGCAATAACAAAATCTTGAGTTGTCTATTGTTCCTAAAATTTTAGGAAAATCCCTTTTTTTGCATGTAATTTTCAAGTTACCATATAGCAGAGCAAGATCAATGATGTGATACACGATAGGTAAATCGAAAGAATAAAAACTGGAAATGTTGTCAGTCTATTATAAAATATGGAGATTGTAGATCTGGATCATTCAATTTGAATATTCATATGAATTTTATTGCGGCTATAACTGGATGGACATAAGATTTTATGTATAAATTTATACGACATTAAAATCTTAATTCAATTCTTCAGTTATAGCCATATAGACCAATTGCTAAACTCAGCCTCTCCCCAGTGCTCACATTTTTCTTCAAAGTTTGCATTAGCATTGGCATGGTTGAGCCGTTAGTGGATAGCGCGAGGCAGTTTCATCGTTCCCGAACCATGAGGCCTCGTATTGGACAACCTGCTATCCGGCCCCATGCCTCCATGCATTAAAGGTCTTGGTCGCCACGCCAACTCTAGTACTCCAAACGCACAGGACCTGGCTAGTGTTGCTTTGACGGTGTGCCTTGTTACACGAGGTTGTACCTAGTGAAGGTGGCTAAAGCGCTCGGGGGACAAAAGCCAAGGAGTATGAAGTGGTGAGAGATTTTTGCTGCCAATAGATGATAGCGTAAACCAGCTTGGCCAATCAATCAGAGGGCTCGGCTGATTGGCTAAAATTAAAATTACAAATTTTTTAAGGGGTAATTATAAAATTTAATGTAAAAAATCTAATTAGATAATTTGTTTTTTGGAGGACCACAAATAGAAAATTTCATTTAACTAAAAGGTTGCAAAGCTTAAATTAAATTTTTAACATTTTGGAGGGCTAATATATTAAACAGGATTGGCTATTAGGGGAGCATATTGAGTTATTGCTCAGTCCCTCAATTTTTATATTTATAATTAAGGCCCTAATTTATATATTTATAATTAAGGCCTTATTTTTTTAATTCCATGAAATTTTTAATTTTCGAAATTTTATTTCATCTCTTGTTTAGTTCATTTAATTTTAAACTAAATTTAATCATTTTTCTTCTATATTTTATTTTTTAATTTATTTAATTTTTAATCTCAATATAACGATAAAATAATACATCATTCTTCATTTTTTATTTATTTTTCAAAATCAAACTCCTTATTATACTCGCATTCATTTTTTTTACTTGTTATCTCTTAGTTGTATTTAAAGAGTTTTCTTAACAAAACAATGAAAATAATATGCTTAACAAAATTTAATCATTTCTCTATGATTTATTAATGTAAAATTAAATAAATTGTTTAAAGTAATAGAACATATTTTCATTCTATAAGGATCTATTTTTGAGTTTGGTGAGCAAAATTCGACTCAAAAAATTAATTTTTTCGACTCGACTCAACCAAAATTATTTAAATCGAGTACTTGGGCTGACGACAGAAAAGAGTTGAGGTTACCTTCAAATTTCTAGTACTTGGGCTGTACATAAGTATATGCGCCATAGTACAATAGTATAATACAATTAGACCAATGGAGAATGGAGAATGGAGGAATTCCCCTACTGATGGTGAACAAAGTGGGATCGAGGATTTTTGTTCGAAATTAAGGATTTGACATAAACATAAAGTCATTTTTTTATGTGGTTAAGAAAATTTATTTAATTATAGTATTTGAAAACTTGTGGTATGAGAACCATAATGTAAGATTTTTATGATGATTACTTGTCAATGCCATGGACTGTATATGTTAGGAAGCTTGTTTCTTATTTATGATGATTACTCAATTGTTATGACGGGAAGACAAGTCTTGAAGAAAATTAGAATCGCATAATTATGATCACAATCATAATTATTTATAAATCTAATTTAAATAAAGGGTAAACTACATATTTAGTATATAAATTATTATTTTTATCTAATTTTTTTAAATCATATCTAATATTTAGTTTATATTTCATTTTGATACTTCACTGTTAAAAACTTAACGGTGATGTTGTCGTGTCATTTTATAAGGTAATGTCAAATTATCATTGAAAAATAAAAAATATTATGTTAACAGTTATGTTAATTTTTTAATAAGAGTGTATCAAAATAAAATAAAATATTAGGTATGATTTTGAAAAAAATAAAAATATGTATCAAAATAGAATAAAAATAATAGTTTAAATATTAAACATATAATTTACCCTTAAATAAATTCCTCTATTAAAACGACAGAATAGATAAAAGTAAAATATTCTGTACAAAATGTACACCTCCCTAACTCGTTACAGTAAAAATGTATTTTAAAAAGTAAAATGAGAAAACGTATACAAATTCTACTTTAAACCAAAAATCCCTGAAACATCATTCTCAATCTGACTCAACATAATTAATTTTCGTCGTCATCAACGATTTTTACCACCAATGGTGGTGGTGGCGATTCCACGCCGGTTTCCTTCCATCGGTTCCGGCAGCGATACGTGTCTTGACCTTCTCGAACTCCGAGAACCGGCAGGGGATGGTGATCCCACCTTGGTGGTTAAACCCATACTCCTCTTCGGCTTCTCTCAGTAGCTCGCCGAACAAAGGGTGGTTGAAGTAAATAACCGGAACCAAAACTCTATGAAAGTCGCCGTCTTCTTGGCCGACGTAGACTGCCAAGTGTCCCTTGGGAACTTCCATCAGCTGCTCCTTGATTGGGTCTTGACCAATACGAACGTAACCCGACCCGGGTTTGGCAGAGCATATGGATTTAGCCCCTCTCGTCAAGCGGCGACCCCAACTGATGAACTTCGTGAAAGGCATTGGATTACAAAATGATCCTTGCTGTGTCAGGCGAGAGTACCCACGTGGGTTCCGAGCTTTGCGGATGAACCATCTCGAGATTCGGACAAGCCGTTTACCGATCTTGAAACCTCTTATCTTTCTCATGGTGAAGGGGACAGCGTCAGCAAAGAGGAGAGCTTTGTGTCTGTTATTTTGGGAGCAGCGGTAGAAGAGAATTTGGTTAGGAAAAGGGCCAAGGATTGGCGATGGACATAGCAAGGCGAAAGAGGGTAAGGCAGAGATCAGAGAGAGAAATTGGTATATTTGACATGGTTTTGCCTCTCACCAGCCGGCTCTTTCATTCAAAATTTCCAGATGAAATACCTTGTTTTGTGTTCTTTTTGTTTAGGCTGCCTCAAGAAATAAACTCAGACTCGTAGGGTTTGTACTTTGTAGGTGAATGACCTGCACTAGTACAACATAAAGCAAAGAAAATACAGCAAGTTCGCAAAGGAAAGGATAAATTGGGAGGGTAAAGAGAAGGCGCAATTGGTTGTTGAACTTGATACTTGGAAGGACCGGATTTGTGGTTTAAATAAGACGTGGGAGGCCAAAAGGAAAAGAAGTGAGGTTCTACAATTAAGAAAAGGGTAAAGTACAGAAAAGGTCAGTACTCTTTTGTTGAATCTTTTTTATTATTAACAAATATAAAATGATCTCTAATTGTGTTATTTTGTTAAGTATTTAGATTATTATAAGTTATAAAATAGTTATTTGATTATTTACATATTTTAAATTCGTTATTTTTTTAAAAAAAATTGACGACAATCTAAGTTAGACGTTTACCTGTTGATTAAGATATAATAAAATTTAATATCATAATCTTAAACGATTATTATATCTTAGTTAGCATGTTAACGTCCAACTCAGATGTCCGTCAAACTTTTAACAGAAAAATATAAATTTATAACATATGAATAATCAAATGACCGTTTTGTAACTTATAATAGTCAAATATCTCAACAAAGTAACACTCTATAATTAAAGGAATGTTTTATAATTTTTAATAATTAAAAGATTAAATAAAATAACAATATTTGTGTTCTTTACCTTTAAAAATATACTTGTTTTCATTGTTATGGGCAGGGGCTGAAGTCTTGGTTAGATAAAAACAAAGTGGATGCTTCCTCAAAACAAAAGATCAACGCCACCAGGTTCCTTCCAGGAAGGCCTCCACGCCCATTTTTTGGGGTAAACACAGGAAAAAAAATCAAGTCTCCTGAAGTTTTGATTCGGTGCAGCATAGCAAATATTAAAGTTCCCTGCAACCGTTGTTCACTGCTCCATGTGCTGTTTTTGAATCGTTATGACTAAATAAGTAAATATGCAAGGCGAGAGGTTTTTCATCAAAATATACATTTCATTCTTTATTTATTATTTTCACGACGTTTGAATTTTATTTATCAAAATATCAAAGCTAAATAAAATCTCATTTGGTTTTAAAACATTTTTAAATTTCAAATTATTTAAATTAATTGATTAAATTTAAATTTTTAATTTGTGTTTATAGAGTTAAAATAATCAAAATTAAAATAATATTTTTAATTTTCAATTAATTAATTTATTTATTTTGTAGTTCTATCCTTAATATTTTTAGTAATTATTTAATCTGAAGTTAATTTTAGTCAAATTTAAATCACATACTCGTAAAACAATTATGTAATTTTAGTTCCTCTTTTTGATAATATTTTCTCTTTATAATTTAATATTTTAACTTTATGTTTTTTCTATTTAATCCTTTCAATGTAGCTCTTTACAAAAAATTTCTCTCATTGATACTTCATCCTCAAAATCTATTGTTTAAAATATAAAATTATATAATTGTAGATGATATTTTATTTATTAAATAATATTATAAATCTAACTTATACACGTGAAAAGTTGGAAAAAATATGTATATCGTATATGGTTAGAAATAATTATTTAAACTGGAACTATTCAATACCGAAACCTTCTAAATAACTGTATTTAAATTTAAATAGAACTATTCGAACGAGCAACGACATACGCACGAGAGAATTATCTTCTCACACACATTTTACTAGGAAAATAAATGATAACCATTTAAATATCTTTCCAAAGGTATATCCTTCTTAACATGAGATATATACTTTCTTTTTAATTTTCTAAAGTATTACTAACATTTTTTTATTTGTTTTATTTTAGATAATCAATTATTGTTTTTTCTTCATTTGCTTTTATGGTTTTGATTTTTGAAAAACAACTTTAACAATGATCTGTGCTAACTATTTTGATCAGTGTGCGGACAATACTTTTGATGTACCCGTCCAGGTCGTTGAAATAAAAAGGCTAACTTGCATTTGAACAATAATATATTATATAATATATTTTTAAAAAAGGTACACATTTCCCTTCGTCCTCTCAAACAAGGCCACTAGGAATCCAGGATTAGTCCAAATTTGGGTGGTAGGTAGGATAAAGTTGCCGTACAGAAAGGTCGCACTTTACCGTATTCAAGAGAAATGGGTCCTGCTGTGAATTAATAACGGATTAAAAATTTTATATTAATAATAACGAATTTATAAAATTTTAAAAATAAATAAGATTATAAAATTTTTTAAAAAAAGAAAACAGATTTTTAATAAGCTTATAAAATTTAATATTAAGGGTACTGAATTCATAAAATTTTAAGAAGAAATATGATTATAAATTTTAGAGTAAATAAAAAAAATTTTAATCAAATATATAATAATTTGAAAATTTTAAAAAATCGACTACCCACCGCTCACCTTTCTGCCAACAAAAAGAAAAGGCAAAATTCTTAATAATCTTCAGTTACGTGAGAGTTTTGGTATGCACAGTCCTCTCTCCATTCAAACAACCAAACCATTTCAAAACCTCATATCTCAATAAAAAATATATATAATACTTAACATTGGGTGTGAAATCTTTGTTTATTATATATATATATATATATATTTGTAGTAATCTTCCAATTTCAATTATAAAGACTGTATTGCTTAGTCAAATGTTGCGTTTGCATGTTTTTCTTGTTCATATTGGTTTTATATGTATATATATATATAACTTCCACGCTAAACCTAGATGGAAAACTCCCTCACTTGTTATTAGTATATTGGTTTTTATTTAATTTATTCCTTTCATAAAAAAACGATTACAGAATTTAATAAATAAATAAATAGTGTTATCGATGGTAAAAAAATTAATATTATAATATATTGATAATTTGTTTTAACACAATTCAAGCGTGGTATGCTTGTGGTGACTGTGAGCACTTATTGGGATGAGAGAATCAACTTGAATGGGATGAAACTAGAATCAAATACTAGGTAGATCGAATCCTTGTTTAAAATAATAGACACTCATTAAAATTAGAGGGGACAATGTTTAGTTTGATTTAAATTTAAATTAATAGGGATTTAAAGAATGATTAGACTATATTTGAGAGAGACCAATGCCAGGGATAGACAGCAAAGGAGTGTTAGGGGAGGATGTAGTCGTGTCTCATAAAAATTTTAAATTCCTGCGTACTATAAATGATTTCTTTATATTTTCTATCGATGATCTAATTTTACTGTCACTGACATTAAATTTTGTTTATATCCATGGAGAGAACTCTTTCAGTTTTCACATGACTCATCCTTGAGTTTGAATATCCAAAATAAAGATAGATTTAGTTAGATAACTATATAATCACAAACCAAAAAGACAATTATAAATCTATACTATAAATAAAAACTTGTAAAAGCACGATTAAATGTGCCACAAGAACAAATAGAAATATTCGTATTTTTATATAAAAAAAAGTTATAATATTTATTAAATAAAAATTTGTGTAAAATAAAATTTAAAGTGAGGAGAAAGAAAAAAGAGGATGAAAAGAATAAATAAATAAATAAAATAACTAACGACAGGTCCTGTGTTACCGTCATTGACAAACAATTGAAATTAATTAGTTTTAGCTGCTAAAAAAATTAAAACACTTATTATTATATTTTATTTATATAGATGGGTGAGTTTGAAAACTACATTTTACCAGTTAATGGAGTTAATTATAATCCTAATGCGTAAAGTCAGCTTGGTTGCTGGGAAGAAATTCATATTTTTTTTGGTAAGTTTACGTACAGAGGGTGTACCTGTATGTTGTGGATGAAGCTTTTGGCTGCTTCCAAGGGACGGGTTACAAACACGGCAGAATTAGTGGGATAATGCAGTCGGGCCGTTTAATTAGCTCAATAGGGTAACTTGTTTTTTTTATTTTAGAGCATTTGTTATAATGGACCTAAAATTGTTAGGCCGGCATAACGAGCTTAATGGATATTATTTTTAATGGGTACTCGGATGTGTGTCTCGCAGGCTAAATATATTTAATATATATTGTGAACTAGCCACGAAGGCATGACGAGTCCCAATAAAAAATATATATATATTTTTTGTGGTAATAAAAAATATTGTTAAAAAAATAAAATATTTTTTAATGGGAAGAGGAAGTCATCATGCTGGCATGACGAGTTCCAATGGAAAAATTTTAAAAATTTTTGCCCGTTAGCCAACGGTCGATTTCTTTTAAAAATCAAGGGGAATTTTTCACGCCGATGTGACGAGTTCCAACGACTACATAGGAAATGGTTTTAGTATAAATAGGGGGTTTAAGGTGAAGGTTTTGATGTATGAGAAATGAGAAAAAATTAAGATTATCAAGTGGTTGTGGGACAATTTTGGGTATAATTTGGCGAAATGGTGTTTATGGGTTTGACAACACCGACTCGGAAACCGACGATTCGGATTCAAGTTATTCTTCAGATGGAGAGTGAAAAAAGGAGGCAATAAAGTACATAGTGAACGAATTGTAGAGAAATCTAAAAAAACATGAAGGTGTAAAAATGAATGTGTCTTAACCCGACATAGTGAACGAATTGTAGAGAAATCTAAAAAAAATTGAAAATAACATATGTAAAAATGTTAATTTGTATGGTTTAATTTATGTATGAAGTTATCTTTATTAATTAAGTAATTATTGGATTAAGTAAACTTATTTAGTGATAGTTTGCAATTATATAATTATTGGATTAAGTAATACTATGGATAGTATGATCAATATTATTATTATAAAGAGACGTATTTTATATTATTATATGTTTTAAATATTATACGACAATTTTATGTGATTTGCTATTTTATAGTAATAACTACATTTTTCCAAAACTAAATTTTATCACTATTAATTTGAAAAATGTTTTAAGAAATTCGTGTGACATCTATAACATGTGTTAGCATAAGTATACGGGTCGTAGGTGCTACAAAATCCACATTAGAAAGACCAAGATGTATTATAACTTAGTTCTTTACATGGTGCAATATTTGAGCCACTACTCTGCACATTTCAACCCATTTAAATAGACCAGAGACTGAATCACAGTCCTACCAATTTTAAAACCTGGGATCACAGTGAACCCCACTTTCAACCTGGGTTGCACAGGCAAGTTATA